CATTTCGTCTGAAACCTCTGATACACTACATTAATAGAATTGGAATGTTACAAAATAAATTATAACTTTCTTTAAAATTTGAACGTGTTCTACCTTTTCCATTTAAATGTCCATATTTTATTGTTTCATAGATTTTGTAGTTGTTGCCTGTGTTGACCCATAGACTGTAAACCAAAAATGAGTAGAAACATCATAGTGCAGTTAACTTGTATCACACGCAAAAAAGGAACCGGCAATGATCAACCGTTTTTTAATGGAATAATATTTATTGATAACATTTAACATATTTTACTTACAGATACTTTGTCTAGAAATTGACGTCACTGCACATCAACTGACAGAACAACACGCTGTATTCCCAAAATATAAAACAGAAACAAACAACTGAGGAGGAAATATCCCATCAAACCAAGACCTCATGCACCAATTCACCACCAGAATAAAATAAAAAATCAGTATGGCAGTTCAACTGGTTGTAAGTACAATGTGCAAAATACGGACTCATCTCATTGAAACAGGTAACAAGTAACAAGACTATGTTTAAAAAAAAGGACAGTCACTACTGTATAAACCCAGGAATAGCACAGACTTAAAATGTCTGCATGTGTCTCTTGTTTATGTTATTGAACATCATAGAAAAGAAAACATCCATCTTTGCGTTCATTCAACATGCAAAACTTATCTGACTGAACAGAGCTCGAGACAGTTTGTCTCTCGTTTCCATTGAAGTTTGTGGATGTCTCAGTTCTTCTTTTAGGAGCGTGTGTATGCAGCGCGCAGCAGCACCACCGTCCGAAGGTACAGCCGAGGCTCCGGGTTGATTCGTGCTCTCAGGTGAATTGTTATTCAAGGCTATGGAGAGGGAGGCGTCCTCAGAGAGTTACAGGATCCTCCCTGGCTACTTCCTGTGGTCCCCTGGTACTGTGAAAGCACCAAACAAAACAGCAAGACCTTTACCATGCATGGAAATATAGCATACATATATCACACAGTTATATTAAGAGATGTGCAGTCCTATTTAATGAAGCCTGAGTCTTTTTTTCCATGTCATAACATCTCATCCAAAAAGTGAGGTGGAAAGTAAAAGAAACAGTGAATGCTTCCCAATTCATTTCAGATTTTTCTGAAGTGTATTCTCTCAGTTTTATTGGAATAGACTGCGCCACTGTGACTGTTTTGTTTGCCGACTCCAAACAAAGGGATGAAAGCTTTTTTTTTCCAGACAAAGTGGCTTACCTGGCAAACAAACGTGAAAGATCTGCATTTCAAAAACTTTCAAACTACAGCTCTCTGCAGTTTGGGAAGTGGTGTCAGGATCAAGAAAGAACAACTCTGACTGAAATTACTTGGGAGGAGGTAAATAATAGATGTGATTTCTTGAGGCACCAATGAAGATTTCAAAGTACTACTCACCCAAATAACCCCAAAGAAACATAACAGGCTCAATTTCAAGTTTTTACATCCATCAATGTGTCTAAGTATATTTTTTTGGTGTGCACACAAACTCAAGCAATAAAGAACTTTTTCAGTCTGAGTGCACAGGTCTGAGACACCATCCTTCAACTCTTCTGCAGACTGCATCCTCTCTGCTGTCATATCTTGTCTATAGTTTGTGTAGCTCTGTCCCTAATCCACTCTCTCTTCGTTGCAAATCACAAAAAATCTTAAGTCTCTCCAAGGGGTAGATATTTGATTTATTGTGTTTATTTTATTTGCCACATTAAAAATGGGAAGTGGTTTAAAATCTGGACCCACGTGTAGCTTAACATGCCTGGGGCTGAATCACATCAGAGCATTGTCTGCTTTGTCTCCCTTACTGGTTTCCCACTCTCCATCTGAAAAGTATGGAGATAATAATAGATATAAATGAGCAAATAAGGGGACTGCCTTGTATAGGGATCTGTCATAATAACCAAGAAAACTACGATTGAAAACATTTTTAGACTAAAAAAATGTGTTTACACAAGGTGCTGCACATCTAGACTGTCCTGTGATAACAGGCTCATAGGTCATCTGTGCAACCATCTAATTTTTATGGAATGCAGACCTCAAGCAGCCATAGTAATTCCTATGTATTGCGTAGAGTGACAAAGTCAGTGTTAGGGTTAGGGTTAACCTACAATAAACAGCATTCAACTTGTTTGTTTCCTCTTTAAAACCAATAATCAACATTCTCTTGTGTCATCAATGCCTATTTCACAATTTTAACTGTGTTTAACCATGATGACAACATCCTCAAACCTAAAGAATATTATATTATTATATCCTAAACCACAGAGTTTCCCAGCACCTATAACCATGTTGTTTTTATGCCCAACACTTATGGATGAATGTAGGGAATAAGGGCTGAACCCATGTGTTCCAATCTTTATATCTTCAGATCTCTGTAATTTGCTAGGTTTGATAGAAGGCTTTCAAATCTGCGTCACAGCTTGTTGTGTGGACTCTGAGTGTCTATGATGACCTCTGTCCAGGGATGAAAGCGCCCACGGCGTGCTCATGGGTGTCAGAACTGGACCATGGAGAGATGGAAGAAGGCAGGCTGGTCTGATGAATCATGATTTCTTTAAGTCGTGCAGATGGCCAGCTCTGTGTGAGTTATTCACCCTGAGGAAGAGATGGCTGCAAGATGCACTACAGGAAGGAGGCAAGCTGGTGGAGATGTTGCGAAGCTGGGGGCAATGTAATGTTGGGAAACGTTTGGGTCTTCACATTCATGCAGATGTTACACATGCTATCTATATTACATAAATATGAATGCTTAACCTGTACCCCCATCCCGTTATTCCCTAGTGGACCCTTTCAGGAAAGTGCACCCTGCCATGCTGCAAACATTGCTCAGGAATGGTTTAATGAATATGTTAAAGGTCAGGTCTAGGCCTCCAAATTTTCCAGATCTCAATCAGATCCAGCATCTGGAGGGATGAAGGCTCCACCTCACAATTTACAGGATCTGATGCTAACGACCACAGCTCACCTTTCATAGGCCTTCTGGAGTCCATGTCTTTCTGAGTTGAGGTTGTGTTGCAGACACATACACTGTATGTGACCTGACCAATATTATGGCTGGTGGTTTTAATATCGTAGCAAATCAGTGTATGTCACCCCATCACAGTAACGCCACCTCACCTCGACAAGTGGATGCCAGTGGGCGACAGGTTTCCGTGGATATGTGAGCATTTCACCCCAGTGGTCTCGACCAAGGCTGTCTGCATCGTTACCAACTCGACACACTCCAATCACCTCATTATGGCCTACGCTGTGGGAGCAGGAGAGAGAGAGGGGGAAGAGATGTGATCACGACCAACCTGCATTCCAGAAATAATGCCGCATTACATCCTTTGTGAAGAAAAACTTGAAGCTGTCAAACAATTTGTGCGATAGGAATTTCATTCAAATCAATTCCTTGTGCTTTGAAAGTATTTTATCTTTTTTTATCATGCAAAACTGATCTGAATGAACATGTAAAGGTTCCTAACCGGTCATAATCCATGACTGCAATCAGAAGGCTGATCTGCTCTATGTTCTCTGGAGGAACATCAAAGACAATAGCCTCATTGTACACTGGATTCAGAGTGTTCCTCTTCGTCGACGTCTTCCTCTTCTTCAGTCGGCGACCATCACACATTAAAGAAACCTTCACGTACGGGTCTATGAAAGTGAGAGAAACAGAACAGGAAGACATTAATTTCTATTCAGGATTCCAGTGAGACCCTGTTGTTGTAGACAGTAAGATTTTAATTACCAGATGCACCGGTGATATCCATGGCCTTGAGATTTCGAGCCTTTATCATGGTAATAGTCAATCTGCCTGCAGTTGGCAGGTAACAGAGTGAAAACATCAGATCCCCGAGGTCCACGTTATCCTGAAAGACAACACAAAACACATTACCTCTACCATAAGCTTTATGTTCATGATGTATTACATTCCTATCGCATTTACATGGATAAAAACAACTTGATAGGCAGCGGAGCCTTTATTTCTAGCCGAAGGTAAAGAATAATGGCTTGGCCCTTTGACACTTGCTTACAGAGTTGAAATGTGTTTCAGTTAAGGAATAGTCTCCTCTGTCACATGGCTCTAATAAAAGCCTCCCACCGTTCACCCAACAGGGAGACTTCTGTTCATCTACAGGAAAGCCAGGAGCTAACTTGTCACTTGCTCTTAAAATAGCTTCACTAAAGAAGTGAGAACCAGGAAAACACACAATTGTGTCTGGTGAATAACTCCTACAGTAGAATCTCTGATCTACTGGTACGTGTTAAAATTTTGAATCAGGTTCCATCCACTGTCCTTCCCTCATTTACAGACTTCTTTATCTCTTTCACTATTTGTCTTGATTGCTCAGCATGAATGTCGTCCTCTGTGATAAGACACTTTTAACTGTGATCTCTATCTGTGAATGGGCCAGTGTGAGTGTGGGAGAAAGCAAAGGAGGGAGACATTGGGAGATATTGAGAGGGCAGAAAAAGAGTTGTATCGTGACACGGCTTTTGAGTTACAATTAGAGTCAAGTATTGGCTATGGTGTTTGAGTTTGCATGATAGATTAACCAACAACCTTTGAGAGAATGCATTTAACGGAAGGAACCCACAGGCTTATCATGCTGCATTGTCCTTGGTCTTTGTGCCCACAGGAGATACAGGTGGATAGAGAGAGATAAGTGCCATGGTTCATGTGCTCTGGAATCACTCCCAGACAAGAAATATCTTTTATTACCTGCTGGTCGAAAGTTACACTGCACTCTACTATATAATCAGCTGAATCCCATATTTCACAAGTGACACAGAATGTATTCACGTGTGTTCAAGCATGTTAAAATGCAACACTATTAATCAAAAATAACAAAAAACAAAACAACAGCAAGCCACATGTAATAGTAATAAATTATATTTCTTTTGTCTCCATTTCCATTGCTTCAAAATCATAAAAAAACCACTTAACAATCTGCGTCTACGGTAGATAAAAACAAGCCAAATCTGGCAATGAAACAGTCCACTCTGTCAGTCCCTCCAGCAATCGTCTGGCATTTCTAACCATTAGGTGAATGAGTCTGTACAGTGAACGTGACAAATGGTCTCTGCTGTAATGGTAACAACCTATGAGGGACTGTGTATCGGTGAAGAGCAGGTTTTTGTGTGTCCGTGCGTGCGTGCATGTGTGTGTGTGCATGAGTGAGCTCAATTCTCACACTTTTAGACGACTCAGTCTGAAAGTGTGAGAATTGAGCTCACTCTAGATCCTGTAAATCCCTGATCCTAATCATCACCTGTCACATACTTTTCTACTCTAACAGAGTAACATTGATTAACAATCAATGATTCATGAAAGAAGGGTCAGCCTCTACTTCACAAACCAACCAGAAGTTGAGAGTTTACACAAAAATATCAACACTTTTGTCAATATTAATAATTCCCTCAGCTCTCTTTTTTGGAAAACTGATAGAACAACTATCTAACTGTCAATTTATGATCCTCTCATCACGGCAAATACACAAAAACCTATTCACCGGAATGGTACTTGGTAGAGCTCATACCTCCAACAGTCCCCTTAAATTCAATCAAGCTGTACCAAAATTGGACACACTCACAGATATCTGTCCACTAAATATGCCTGATTGTTTTCATCAAGATCCATGAATGATTTCCTCAGAATTAATGAAAAACACTTGATGTTAAAGAGTATAAATATAAATATAAATAAATATTTCTTCATCTTTCCACAAAGATTTATTGAAATCCATCTTGTAGTTAATCTTGCTTACAAACAAACGTACAAACCAACCAACTGGTAGCTGGAACATTCAGTTCCTGTCATGCACTGTTCCTGTAAATTACAGTAATAACATGATGTTTATGGCACATTTTTAATTGTTCGTCTTTAGGTTTAAATCTTTGCCAATGTCCTCATTAAACAATGTTGGTTTCGTTAAATGTTTATACTGTAAAGTACAAGCCTCATACATTCTTGTGGTTTGCACAGGCTTCTCCCTCTAACAAACTATGCATAAAATATGCATGAACTTGTTCAACCAATCTGCTGCCCATGGCACTGACTGCAGACAGTCATGCACACTGACTGGATCAAGCACTGATCCATGTGTCTATGAATGTGTTAAGATGGTGTTAACTTTGCTTCTGAGCTCTCACTCAAAATTTGAAATGCTTACAGAGTGAGACTCTAGATCTACACGGACAGGGAGAACTCTGATGCTCCTATATACTTGACACATAATCATCTTTGAATAATCTACTCAGTTCCTTGTTCTTTTATGTTCTCAAAACCCAATTAGAATGTGTATGTGGGACACAGCTGTTGACTTTGTTGATGCCAAGTAGGGTTGTGATAAATATAAATATAAATATGACTTGTAAAGGGATGAGCTTGACCTGATTGGCCCGAGAACCTACATGTAAGTCTGGTCGACTTTATAAAGACTGCTTGAGGGATCTAACTCTCGCTTTCACCATTTACAGGTTACAAAAAGCAGGCACACATAGAGAGAAAGACCGAGACAGACTCACAGAGAGAGACAGAGAGCAGAAGGGTTCTGGCTGCCAGTATTTTTAGAGGCCATGAGTAGGAAGATTTCTTATGTTCTCCAGCTACTGTATGTGTGGCCTTGTGCTTTAAACCATGCAATGGCTGACAAGTTGATACCTGCTGCAATCAGTACCGATTTGCACCATTTTCTACATTAAAGTTATACACATCTGAAAAAAAAATAGAACTCAAATAGTACTCAGTAAGCCCCTACCTTTGCCAAGACCCTAAATATGCCTAATGCTTTTTATATACTTCCTTGATTTATTGAAGAACATATCTTGCAATGTTAAAGAAAGTGAAAAGGTCCAGATTCAGGCCAGCAACCCACAGACAGGGGCAGAAACATAAAAACATAATGGGGGGGGTCTACATTCCAATGAAAAGAGGTCAATATCACTAAGAGAGAAAAAATGATTTTATGAGTGTATGGATGGATACATGAAACTCAATCAAATAAATACACAACAGCATGCACAGTTGTGGCAGTGGCCATATCTGTTGCCTCACAGCAAAAAGGTTCAAACCTGTCCACTCTATGGATCTAGGCCATTTCTGTGTGGGGTTTGGATGTTCACCTCGTGCGTGCAGGGGTTTCCTCCCACAGTCTGAAGGTGGCTCAGCTCAGGTTAAATGGTAAATTGCCAATAGGTGTGAATGTGAGTGTGAATGTTTTTTCTCTTTGTGTCGAATGTTAGAGGCTGGTGACCTGTTTAATGTGTAGAGGCCTCTCACCCAATGTCAAGCCCCCACAACCCTCAAAAGACAAGCAACCTAGCTTATGGTTGGATGGAAGGATGGACATTTACATGCAAGCTTTTAAGTACTTACTTCAACATTATTCAATATCAGTGATGGATATGACAAAATTGACATAAATTCAACCAGTGTATCTCACCACACCTCAGCTTTTACACCATAAGAGAGGTATGGCCGACTTCTACAACAACCTTCCTCCCTGATTCTTAGAGGAAGCCCTAATATTGTCAATACATGTGTGTGATTATGGAAATTGTCGAATGTAGAATTCACAAACTGTTTATACGATCCTCAAAAGCAAGATACCAACACTGGCAAATGTCATTCCCGATAAATTTATCAGTAATCAAATTCATGATACATAACAGTTAAGCTGACCTAATGCATATGATCATGAAACCAACTTTAATTTCAATTTTAACTATATTCAATACAAACGCACAATTTAAAGTCTCAGGTTGTGCAGAATTCAACCCCGCCCATGAACAAAAACCTCCAGACGTATAATCAGAAAGTGACTGATTACCATATTCACAGTCTGATTCAGGCTGATGTTTTTCAACATGCAACCTTTAATTTTCAGGAGGAAAACTGAGCGTGTTGTTGATTTAATTTTATGTATGGGTGATGAATATGTCGGACCCCTTTCACATGTTTTTCTGCTTTTAAAAAACAGGAGCACCATCTGGCTGTTATAACAACATTCATACACAAAGGTGATATACAACAGAGCAGTTATTCATAATGAAAGCATGAATGACCATGAAAATGAATAAGTGATGCAGATGTTTTCAAGGTTGTATTTTCATTTCTCAGCTAAATTACATTCATGAAATTACTATAGTGGTTCTATTTAGCCTGGATGGACAGGTGGATCAGTGGGGCACATACAATCAGGTTAGTAAGGTACAAAGCTCATTAAATTTGAATGGCTGCTGTGTAAGTCATTTACATACGCTGCACATGCAACATTGTAAAAAAATGTGTTGCTGAGATTTCTGTAGGCTGCAGTCTGCAGCAGTGCAAAAAAACCTTGGGCAGTGACACACTTATCCCACATGCTAGTCAAAGGTATTGGGAACAGAGGTTATGATTCAAGCTGACCATTGAGAACATTTGTCACAGTTTACAGACTATATGACCGTAGCTGTTGGGAAGGTTTTAGTTGCCATGTTTCCACCAAGATCCAAGCAATAACTTTTATGAGTAAAATGCTACCACAGCTATGAACACTTGGTCCATTTACTTATATGAAAATTTTACCCATTTACTCATATGAAACTTAAACCATGTTGTAAAAAAAAAACATGTTTTCCTTTTAACAGCTCTGCTTCATTGATCTTGCCTCACTGACCTTCCTGGGATGAAATAAATTGTCGGCAGAAATCAATAACATCTTATTAATGCTACTCAAGCATGCAATGCAAATATTTACAGGATCAACAGGATCCATTACACATTACTACTGGTTAAGCTCTGGTGTCTCTCCCCCAGATGCCTATCAATCAGAGCAATCACTGGAAGCATGCACTCATAAATATATACGTACATTGTCCATGACACAATAGATTTGTCACATGTCTTTCAGATGTGTTATGTAAACAGGAACAGCCAAAAAGACAACCTGAGTAGTCTAACCTGTTTGGACAATGAAAGAAAATGACAGAGCTGGTTAACCATATGGTAGCAATCATGACATCATATGTCTGGAATTGTGGATATATTATTTTGAAAAAAAAGTCAGGTTCGGTCAGACTCTGTGCTTTAAATCCTGTTGACCCTAGTAAGTCTCACTCTGGACTTCATTAACAGATGTTTGAAAAAGAGAGGTTGTGACAGATGCAGTAAATGTGAAATGAAAACGTCTCACTGTCCTGCCCCCGAGTCTCTATCACTTATCGTCACAATGTTTGTCGCAAAAGGAAGACGCAAAAGGAAGACGCAAAAGGAAGGACTAATTCTACAGTGTTTCTTGGCTCCAGATAAAGAATTTTATTCAATTACTTGCTCTGAAAAGGCAATAAAGCAAATGATTCAAAATATTATATAATTGTACAGATGTGTGAGAAGTATTGTCTGCAGTGGTTGGTCTTGTATTGAGCAGACACTTCCCTCGCCGCTACTAGACTCTCTATCTCACAATGGAGAGAGACAGAGCACAGTCATCAAGAGAAATCCTCTTTATGAAAGCGAGACCTATTCACCTTACCTACCAACTCATCTTCCTCTTGTTTGTTCAGAGCCGACAGCGCAGAGTATTTAAAAAGCAGACATTTTTATCTTATACTTCATACTTTCAATGTGAGACTCAAATGTGGACCAGACATGGGGCTCTCAGCATAGTCGCAGCAAATCTGTCAGCTGTGATAAAACATTTCTTACCATTTGTGATAATATTTGAATATTTCCCTAAATATAACATAGAAAACTTATCTTTATGAACAGAAGTGCTGACTTACCGAGGAGACATACTGGATTTCCCGGCAGAGCTTTGTCTCCCGTGGGAAATCTGCCAGATCCAGGAAGTTGTCCACAACCACTTGGCCAATAATGTCATGGCGAGAAAAGCGGTCAAAGTCATAGACACTGAAGTGCAGCTTGCGTGTGGGAAGCTCAGAGTACGCCACGGGAAACAGAAAGACCTCGTCAAACACAGGGTTCAGCGTCTTGCGGTGCACCTTGGTCTGGTGTTTGGTCATACGATCAGGCAGCAGATAGATCTTAACGTAAGGATCAGAGGTACCAGAGAAGTCCTTGGCTGGCAGGTCCTCTGCTTTGTGGATCTTAACTATTAGCTGCTCCAGGTCACAGTCAAATTTGAGGATGAAGCTGAGGCATCCACAGCCTCCTCCTCTGCGATTTACTTCATCTCCCTCAAGGGAGCGCTGTTTGTAGAGCTCGGGTTTGAGACGGCCGAGGCCCAGTCCCATTCCAGTGAGGGAGTCCTGCCTTTGGAACTGGGCGACATTGAAGTCCGGGTTAGACAGGTTCATATGTCTTCGAATGGACCCTTGTCTGTGGGCAGAGGTAATCAACAATACAGGTCATTATACAGCAAGGTATCATCAGAAAGAACATAAGACATCCATGTCCAGATTGGACAATATCTGCACCTTTACAGTTAACACCAATACTGTGTATCAAAGCAGGAGCTACTGTCCCCAACACATGTATGTAGCCAGGCAGAGGGTTAAAGATTGTGGAGGTTGGATGATGAATTGGTTCTGTCACTCGCAATCGTGCAAGAGACTTAATTTATAATCTGTCACTGATCCGTTCTGCAAACGAACCTAAACTGTCTGTTTACATGGCTTCACTTTTAACGTACCAAAATTTAATCCACAACCACAACATTTCCCTATAAGTAAACTTGCTGTAGTTGACATACTGGGATACAGTTAAACAAGGTTTTGCAGAATCATCTGATATTGATGTTTTAGTCTGGCAATAATTTGAGTACCGATCAGCTCAAACACAAATTAATATTCGACTTGAAAGAAGGAAGTATTAAGTAAAAACTATTACAAGCTTTGCAGTAATTGTGCCTTAGCCAAAGAAATCAGAAATCTTCAACTGACCCAATTTCAGCCATTGAGCGACCAGATGGTGGGGGTTCAGTGGTCTGTCTCTGCATACGAGGGTTAGTGTGGACCCCATTTTCCCGACTTTTACTCTGGGCGTCCAGTGGGATGTCTGGAGATGTGTGACTGATCTTCATAGCTGCCTCAGGTGTGGCCAGGACCACGGGTGGTGGTGACACCGGAGTCACTGGAGCCTCCACTGATACAACAGATGCCACAGGAGTAGGCTCTCTGGCGATGGAGCAATGTAAGGATTCACGGCGGTTGTGCGTCGGTGGATCCACAGCTGTGTAAACTGGCTGTCTGGTTGCGTGCTGTGAGGGCAGAAGGCTCATGGTTGGGTTTAGGTGCCCATGGGGCTCCTTGGTGGTGGGTGAGAGCCCACGCTCTCTCCATGGTATCCAGCAGAGCTTCCAGGAGACGAAGAGAGAGACTCCAAACAGGGCTAAGCCACAGGCAGTCACCACCAGTGACAGCAGACTCACTGATATATCTGAGAAGGTGACAAGAGACACAGGAAATAAGGATCTGACAGTAGATTCAGTTTGATTCCTGCTTTGTTGCAAAGCCAAGATTTGAACCCATTGACCATCTTTAGCCATTTTTTATTTTAGCAAGTTTGAAAACTCTTTAAAAATATTGAATCACAGTGTTGTTACAGTAACACTCAGGGGCATGTGATGTGTTTTTTTCTTCAGCTGTGGTGTCACAATAGAAGAATGTGTTTGAACAAATCACTCCTTTGGACTAACTAACAAAAAACTTGATTTATTACAACTGGGACGTTAGCTTTCTTCCTCTTTTCTCCTTTTCTCTTCTATTGTTACAAAGAATCCCTCAGAAGATTAATTAGGATTAACTACATTATTTAATTATACTGTGCAGCCTTATATCTGTCCCCCAAGTGGAGTGTGCCCCACGCTGTATTTCCAGTCCTTTGCAGATAAGAGCAGAGTAATAGTTTGTTAAAAGAAAAGCAGCATTCAATTCATGTTCATACACACACGATGTAATACTGTAAAAGCTGCTGAGCTGTTTTATTCATTACAATTGAAAATGTTTAGAATAGTTTTGGAGAGAGGACATCTCATTAGAGTAAAACAAGGTTACAATATATTGTGTAGGTCTATGGTTGCAACAATATTATTTTGTAAATGAATAAACACAGTGAACTGGACTTGCTTTCAGTAGCACACACCTCTGCCCAATGGCTCCATTTACATTCAATCAAGCTGCACAAATTGTACACATTAATAGAAATCAGTCCCCTCAACATGTTGTTTTTTCCCCTCAGATCTATTAATTATTCAGGGAAATCTGAAAAAAATAAAAAACACCCTATCATGCAATGTTGAAGAAATACGGCAATCAAACATAACCTTATAGGGAAAGTAAACTTGTAAACTAATCAGCATCAGCACTGAAAGTTACAAAGCAGGTTACTTTATTTAAATAGAAGCAAAGCTAAATAGCCGTCCTGCTCTCCAAACTGTTAAGAGTTGACTTGAGTTTTACAGCTTTGCTCTTTCTCTTCTGCTAAAGAAGTTGTTACACAAGTCAAACACCAGCGAACCAAAAGTAGCAAATCACGGTTGAGTAAAATGAAGGTTGACATAAATTCACCATGTCATGAAACCTAAGCTCAAACTCTCTATAGCTAACTTTAATGCATAGCATAAATTTAAGTCAAGACACTTGTGGGCAAGAGCAGCAGCAGTGTCTTCAGTGGGAGTATACAAGTTTACAGGAGTATCACACCGCTGGCCTGAGACTGTCAAGAAAGAGTTTATGGTTTGAAAACATGACACTGAATACTCCTGCGGTGCTTTGTTTACGCCAGCGCAGGGTGTGCGCTGTGGAGAGGCAGGAGAGGTGTGGTGCAACAGAGTCACCAAAGGCTGTCTGAATCATCTCTGCTCTTCAGAACTGGGTGGCTGTTTCTGAAGGATAAATCAGAGAAACTGCTGCAACATGGCAGCACTGAGGTACAAACTGTGACTCCATGCAATAAAAACAGGAGTTTTGTAAAAAAAAATAATTCTTTTGTTTTTGTTCTCCTGCCTTTGCACTGTTGTCATTGTCAACAAACCAGAACTGTCAATAAGAAAGTATTGAAGATAAAACCTGCTCCTTTGTCCACAATTTCACACATTTAACGTTGTGATGTTACGTGTGTTTGAGGTCAGCTTGAGGTGCAACTCCTCTCGTACATCCTGTGAATACACTGATGTTAAAATCCATTAAACAGACCACTAGTTTAAAGGCAATAACAAACACATGAAGAATCATATAAAAAACATACTAATATTTTTACAGCTGGGGTCCCTGAGACCCCCGAACAAGAAGTTTTGAGCAATTGTCAAATCAAGCTGATGAAATAATTTCAAGTATGTTTTGTACATTTAAGATGAGGATTAGTGTAATTGTTTGTCTATGAAACAATCATGATTTACACCTTTGAAAGTCTGAATAGGATTTATGATGTGAATTCAAATAAATAGATTTCTGATTAGTGCAGTAAAACCAGGTCAAATAGCATAAGGATGTAAATGATTGATGATTTAATGTGCCGTATATTTTATATTTGTTATGTGTTATATATATTTGTATATGTTCTGAACCCTTTTCACATCAAACAACATAAACTGTATCAGTAAAGATTTGGTTGTGTAGCTACAAGTCACATCGTCAAGAATTGAGAACGTTTGATGAGTTTTTAGGAATATCTTGGTGAAATATGAAATTACCACTAAGCTGTACGTTCACATACTGGATAGAGAAACAGTTGCTTTGCTATTAGCAGATAATAATAATGAGGTAGAAAAATAACTAGCAGCCCATGTAGTAGCCATCAGGAGCAAAGGGTACAGGGATTAACATCCGTCACTAATTCAGTGAATGACATGTTATTAGAGCAGCTGATGTTTTATGAGAGTCATAACCTGCATCTAGCATGAATCCAGCTGTTTTCAAGTCGATCTCAATAATGATAATTATAGTAATAATAATCAGATGCCTTTACATTGACAGCATCACTGGCTCCTTCTGAACTGGCTCCCTTCTCTTGAATTATTGGAAATGATGAGGGGGAAACAGTCCTCATTCTGTGCATTCAAAAATGTAATTTACATCAGTAAAATCAAATTAGTATTAAACAGTGTTTTAGTGTAAAATTTTTCAGAACCTAATGTTGTTTTACAAATAAATTTGGAAAGCAGCCACTTGTTTTGGCAAGCTCAGATCCTTAAAACATCACATTAGTTTACTTATGAACGATGTGATGGAGTTAATTCAGTTTAGATGAGATTTTTTAAAGTGTAATCGCAATATTGACCTTTCATAAAAAAATGTTGCTACTTGTCTTGTATATTGACTTTTTTATGAGGCCAAATAAACGTGTGTATTTTGAGGCAGCTGAATATGGTTTTACTATAATGTTCATCTGCATGTGCCGGAGTGAACTGTTGCCCAGCAACAACTGTTGTAGGAGAAGCTGGTTTAAAGGTGGGAGGACAGACATTGTAGGTGAAGATTATCCTGTTTTATTTGTAGAAAACCATGTCCACTGATGGTTTATACATGTTCATCTCATGAACCACCTCTTTAATTATTTCATACATTAGTTGTTGATTCAGTATATTTTCAGCTACAAGCCTCTGTTTACCATTATGTGTCTAATGCTGTGCTGATAAACTTCCATCCAGCTGCTGCACTGTTTACTTTCATTTGTTGTTTTGAAATATCTTCTGAGGTAAAACAAGTCCAGGCTCCTGCACAGTGTTGTTTTAATAGCATCAGCTTTATCCTCCTGACCATGGCATTTTGTGGCTGTGCCTCATCCTCTGCAAGGAAAGTGATGCCGATGTATCCAGTTTATGTGCAACAGGCTATTGGGTGCCTAAAGGATTAAAATAAATCCAAAGAAAAGTAATTAGTGTATAATGAGTGCAATTACTTAATAATCGTAATGGGTAAATTTATGCCATTTTGGTTTTTGAGACGGTAATAATTGCTCTTGACTAACCTATCATTGTTTAGCACATTGCTGCTCTATGAGCCAAAACGCTTTGATTAGAAAAGAAAAGAATGTTGATATGGTTCAAAGAATAATTTCTCATAATGAGCATTATTATCTTAATCCTAAAATACACAATTTCTGATGGACTTCTTTCTTTTTGTATGAGCTATTAAGCTTGTGTATCTTTATTTTGACTGGTTGACTTTATGAAGAGCTTTAACAATTACGTGAAACAATCGGTGACTCGAGAAGCAGCTGCAGTAGAAGATTTTATGTATTTTGATTTATGTATTTATGTGTTTATTACTGCAGCAGTAACACATACTGTATGTGTAAAATTTGTAAATATGGCATACATAGTAACAGCTATGTGAAAAAAGTTTGATGCCATAGTCTTAATTTTGCATGATGGACAGGATTATTTTTATTTAGACTATAAAACTATACTTCCTTCCTGAGTAACAGGTGACAGAATAGAAGTATATACTGTAGTTTGTTACATAAAGATAATATTATCATCATGTGCTGTGGAGCTGTATCTATGCTTGCATGTTAAATAATCATGTTAAATCCTTCCATCTTTGTTTTATTGCATACATCAATAGAAAATCCTGGATATTGAGATATGCCATATAAAGAGTTATTTTAAATAATGTTATTTAGTATTTACACATTTTTAACAACATTCCAAAGCTGTTTGTGATATAAGTGGTATTTCTGTTTTCTGTCTTTGGTGGTGCCTCATTTAAATTATATGACAGACTCAGGATTTCTCATGAAGGAAGAAGTCTTGAAAGAGAAAAATGGTTTAAAAACTAAGAAACTAAAACATCTCAGAACTTCTCAAGCTACCAGGAATCATTTAGAACTGAATCACATCAAGCATGATCAGATTTCAAGCCTAAACGTTAAAAATGTAAAAATATTTACTAAGTAATGCTGTAAAACTTAATGATTCGGCTTAAATGTAAATGTGCATTTTAGTTTAAGGTTAATGAGACAATACAGTATATCACACCACATTTAAAGATTCATACACAACAAATCTGAAAGATGATTTAACACCAGGTAACCCATCCAATTTCTGCATTATTGGTTGATAATGGACAGACTGTGTGTGTGTGTGTGTGTGTGTGTGTGTGTGTGTGTGTGTGTGTGTGTGTGTGGGTGCTGTCAAGAGAGCGTGCACAGCAACTCAGACAAACTGTCCTTTCTGTGCTCTGAGATTCTGTGATAACCAGAGTAAGTGTGATTTGGGAGAATAAATCTGGAGAAACTGAGGCACTCGCCATCTGAGGACACTGAGCCCACAGTCAACTTGGTAGGAGGCCTGAGCACTGCCTGGTGGAGAGGACAGACATCTGGAAGGATCCAGAAACTGCATTACTACAAAGAGGCTGGACCACATTTATAGAGTAAAGGACCTTCAAAGGTGCTGTAGTGTAGGAGGCAAGTATAGTGCTGAAAAAGCTAAATATGGATCTACCTATGTACTGAGAGCTTGTTATTCATCTTGAATATAACTAATGTAAACTGTGAGTACAATTACTATCAATACAAATTACACAAGAGGGGAGCTGTGACTCAGGAGGTAGAGTGGGTTGTCCACTACCCAGAGAGTCGGTGGTTTAATTGCTGTCTCCCCATTCTAAAGTTAGACAAGATACTGAACCCCAAACTGCCCCTGACAGCTGAGCCTGCAGTATATGATTGATTTATGATAGAGAAAGCATCCAGCACCCAGTTAGCCAGCTATCTAAGGCTGGAAACAATAGGAAACTGTTTGAGATTTCAAGTTTCAAGATGTTAGAAAGTCAGGCCAAGACATAATCCAGCAAATAATTGGTCAATTAATATATATATATATATATATATATATATATATATACATACATTTATAACTTTATGATTTATGCCCAGCATGTCTGTAAGAAACACTTAAATGTTTATAAGCAAAAAAGACACTGAATCCCACCCTGAACTCTATGTCCCATAGTGTTGGACATGCTCTCACTTTTATCTTCTTCCTGTTATTCACGGGTGTAGCCATCATGCCGGGTGAACACCAGCTAGAAATAAAACCTTATAGGCGAGCTATCTCAGCAGCTATAACCTCACTACAGTGCTGTAACAATCCCACTTTTGAAACTGATAGAGTGCAATGGAAATAACAAGACAGGATCGGCCTGTGTGATGAATGAGGGAGGCAAGGAGAGAGCTGTGAGATTAGGCAACAGAGGGAGGGAGAAGGATGGATGGGAAAGGAGTGGGAATTTAAAAAAAAGGGCTTTCATGTGGTGAATACTGATTATTAGCAGTAATGCAAACTAATGGGAGCAGAGTGAATCTAGCAGGAATGCGGAGGAGTGCAGTTACTGTGCTTTCTCAGATGATCATACACACACACACACACACACACACACACACACACACACACACACACACACACACACACATCTACACATGACATTCAGATAAAGATGATGTTTTTGAGCAGTGGTCACATTTCTTCATCAGACTGAATGTGTAAAGGTCTTCTTTACGCATATAGCAAATGTTTGGAGCAGCAGCATGTGTATAGTGAGATGAAGAATTAAATCTAGGCTAAACTTCAAAGGCAGTAGGATACAGTAAGTGTGCCACCATAGTAATGCCGGCTCTAGCTGAACTCATGCAAGAAAGAATTATAAAATAATAATTTCATATGATGTATCATTATGTGACTACATGATACCATTGCCTGTATATGTTGATGAATTGAATCATACCACATATTAAGACCCATGCAGGTAATGGATTCAATATTATTGGCTATTAGATTTAAAACGTTCGACACTCTGTAAAAAGACTGTTGTTAGGTGAACTGATATACTTGAATTTGATGATTGAGTGAGCTAATCAAATGTAAAATATAAATGAGTGTGTGAGTGTAAAAGCGCTCAAATCAACACCTCCTCTCCACATTTTTTGACGCAGAATGTTCAATGAAAAAAGTCACATGCGCGTCCACTTAATTCAGTCCCACACGACCCTCTGCCAGAATCACGCGTTCATGATCATGCCCCTCACCTGAATCCGTGTAGCGTGGCCTGGCGAGGTCTCGGAAATAGTAGATAAAATTCAGGCAGTTCTCATTCTGCACTTCCCCCTTCGAACAAAGATCTGACAGGAGTTCAAGCGCCTTTTGACAAATCTCGTCATCTCTGTCTCCAGGCATTTCCCACCAGCATCCTTATAAATGGAGGGTCTCTTTAGGCACCACCACACCACTCCACTCCACTCTGCCCGCTTGACAGTCACCTACACTCCACGCTGCTTAGCAAGGTTTTTTTTAGAGTCATCCAGAGGGGCACGCCTACTCTCACGATGGAACCGTCGTGTGTTACAAGGAGCGGAAAATAACCCACTAGTCACAGTTATCCAGAGAGCTGGTGCTCCTCTTCGCATGTGGACACAGAGGAGTTTTACGCATCGTTCAGTGGACGGTCCGCTCGCGCTGCTGCTCCGGATCAAAGCCACCGGTTGAATCCACGCTCCGCCACTGCGGCGCCGAGCGCTGTCCGAGGTGCTGAAATGTGTGTGCGCCTCAGAGACACGAGGCTGCTGCTGCTGCTGTCGTCTGGTGTCTTCACGCCTTCAAGCGGCAACAAGCTCTGAAAAAGTTTGGCATCATTTTCTGATAAATGAAGAAGGAACTGCATCTGATAGCAGCACTACCTGTAGCAGGCGATCACTCCTCTGCCAAGACGAATGTGGTATGGTTCTACGTGTCTGCACGCGGCCAATCAGAGGATGGCATGGTTTTCTCCCCGTTGTGTGAATCAAGCTATTTTCTTTCTTTTTAAAACACAACAAGGCATATATCACAAAAGCCCCTCCTGTATGCTTATCTTGCATAATGTAAGTCTTGTATAAATTAACTTCAAGGAGCACAGCCAGTAAAACCAGTGTCACCCTCCAGATGAGTGATCTTTTCGTCAGTGAGCTCTTCTGGTCCTTCCTAGACAGCCACAGCTATGGACTCATCTGCAATGACACCCATGGTTTGTCTTGCCATTCTCAGTTAGAAATTAGAAACATGTGCAGGCACATACAGAGAGGGCGTTTATTTGTCTTCCTGTCTTTATTTTTTTATTGTTCATAATAATTTCTGGAGTGCTCAGGGCATAATTATAATCAACAACACCTCCATAAATTTCTCAAAGGACAATCAATTTCAATAATTTAGTGTGCCTTGTTGAGTGTACCACAGTCAAATTCACCTTCACTGAGTTCATTTCAGTGATTGACACAGCCAGTAATTATGGCAAAGATTCTCTTCGGTGATGCATACTATTGCTCTTGAGTGGAAAAAGTAATAGCCTGAGTGTGTGTTTCACGCCACAAGTGAAACCATGCTCTCTGTGACATGCATCATGCAAAGACACCTGCTGTAGGCTTAACTATGTAACTGAGAAATAATCTGTGATGTAATGGGGGATGTATAGAACACATTAATGAGGTTACTGGGGAAATATCAGTTCAAAGAAGAAGCTAAAAGAGACAGAGTAACAAAAATCCCCCTTCTTATCATTATAACAAGGATAGAGCTTCACATTTATTGGCAATTTCTAAAGGGACAAACAGACCATGGGTTCTAAAAGAAAGAGATTAGGGAGATGAAAAAAGTGACAGATAAATGAGCTTGCTCTGTTCTGGGTGAGTTTCATGCTTATTCCACCAAGAACAAAGAGCCCAGCATTCATCTCCCATCAGAGATAAACACAACTTCTAATGAGCTGTGGCCTGTGTGCTTTTATCTGCTCCTCTGTCTTACAAATGGTGTGTTGAAGCTACTCTCCTGCTATGTGATAATAAGAACCTATCAGTTACCTGAACGACTCTCCACACGGGAAGAACATGTGATTGTGGTTAGCATGTGATTCATTTCAGCAGTTATAGAGGTGGAGTTTGTGAGCCTAGAGATTAGATAATGGTAACTATAATGGTAGCTGTGTGTGTGTGTGTGTGTGCGTGTGTGTGTGTGTGAATGTGTGTGTGTGTGTGTGTACATGAATGTGTGTGTTTTCCATTCAAAAATTGTTCACACAGCAGTAAGTCAGCTTTCTTGGTGTCCATGGCAACTACAAAAGACAGAAAGCACACTTCACCTATATCTTCTCTTTAACTCATTCTTTCAGCCTCTCTCCTCCACTATCAACTCTTTAGCATTACTTCCCTCTTCTCTTTTTTAATATGTTTTTCTTCTCTCGTCATTGTCTTGTTGTCTCCTGTTGTGCTTTGAAGCTTCAGAGTGATAAAGGGTTGATGCAGAGTACCTGCAGACACTCATAACTCTGAACTGCTACAATATAGGCTATTGAGATGAGATGATTTTCCTCCAACACTAAATCACCAATTCCTGGTGTGCACAGGATTGAAAGAGTTCATTCTTACTACATCAACAAGCCAGTCAATCAATCAGTCGCAGTTATTATATCAATACATCTCATCTGCTTTTGAGAACAAGGCTGTGATTTCCTGCACTGAGATGGAGAGTTTATTGAAAGAGCAGCCCTTTCTAGGGATAGGAAATAAATGCAGAGCCATCATCCAGTAATCAATCAACCTGTTAGCACCACAGGTATTCGCGATTCCTCTTGAGTTTCAGAAGAAACTGTTTGAATGTTATCAGTGGTCACATGGAAAAACATGTGACAGGATTACATCACCTAGAGATCTAAGCACTGAGCCCTGACACCAGCAGTGAGGTTGCACTGGGACTTTCTTTCCACTTCACTTGTTATAAGCAACAAATGATGGAGGGTCTTTGTCCATTTCTGTCAGTACAGACAGTAAAACTGTGCCAAAGGCTGCAGTGAGATCGGTTCAAGGGCTGAGAACAAACCTAGCTGTTCCAGGAGGGTGAGGTATCGCAGTGACTGGTTGCTTCTGTGAATTTGTTGTTTTGAACTGGGATTGGTTTGGACCCCTGAAACTAGGGACTCAATATACAAAACGCAAATGAACAGAAGGAAGCCTCTCTGAGACTACCGTGTATGTAAGATAGTGTGTGTGCGAAGCCGATTGGATTCAACTAAACACAACTCTTTGATTAAATAGAGATTCAGTGACTTCTCCTCCACTTTACATTAGTGTTTATTAAAATGCTAATGGTCCAGTTCCTTGGTTTCTCCCTATAAAATCCAATTGATTTTTTAGTGGGTCAGGAGCTTCTGTAATGAGAGCTATTTATTGTTTTAAAGATCAGTCTCTCATCCTGTGTTTCCTGTGCTCACAGAGGTGGTAAGAGATTACTTTGCATTTCTGGGCAGATTATCTCAATAAAACTATGACTTCCTCTATCACTGCAGAGTTCAATTCATTTATTTCCAGGTCTTAATGCCTTAGTCCTGATGATCCTTTGAACATGTGTTTCACACTGAGATGAAGATCTCAAAAATGCTTTGTCTGGTTCAAATAAGTTCAACAGAGGATCATCACCAAACAAAGAACAAAAACTCTCCCTGCACCATTGTAATAACAGGCTTATTAGCGAATGTGTGACATTCATTTTAGAAGACAAAGTCAATAGTTTGTGAGGAACACAGAGTTTTCTGAAAGTTCTTTATAAGCACAGATAAAAAGAGCGAGAACAGGAAGCTCTGCTTTGACAAGCAGACCTATCAGCCACAGGAGAGCAGCGTATGACTAGATGAGTCCCAAGGAGAATCAGTACTAGTTGTTTTCCGTGAAATTTCACATCTGCTGCCTAAGCCTCTCAGCATTCTTTGAGTCAAACAAAGTGGGGTTCGTAGAGAAGCTGTGCACAAAGGAAGACGGGATGGAATTCTCTCTCATCTCAATTGCTCTTTCTCTGTCTCTACTTTTCTCTCGATGGCTAAAAGAGAGGCCTTGAGGGTTTGAGGAATGGGTCTCAAAAAACAAAGGCACAAAGCAAAGCCAATTCAAGATATTTTGGTGTGTGTGTGTGTGTGTGTGTGTGTGTGAGAGAGAGAGAGCTAGACTGAGGAAGATCATGCTGTGTATATGGAGAACAGAATAATGTAGGTTGTTAGTGTGTGGGGGGAAGGGAAAAGAAGGAAAAACTGTAAGAGGAAAAAACAGAGGCAACAGAGACGTCTTCACCATGAGACCACTAGAGGTTTTTCAGGCTGGGATTAGTGTGCCATACATATATCATCCATTGACAACATGGAGTTTAGTGGCAGAGTTTCCTTAATGAATTCAGCCCTTAAACCTCAAAGACTGAAAGAATTTATTTCTGGGTACAACACAAACTCTATTGCATGTGCAACAACTGATAATAATAATGTTTATAGGCTGTACTGAATGGGATATGTGAGGTTTCTAAGGATCTGGAACTAGCAGGCACCAATTGACTGATCATTTATTAACTCTACTCTATAATCATTAATAGAATCTTTCATTTACAATGTACTAATAAGACTAATAGATTTTCACTTGTTGTTTTTGGGAAAAGGTTAAACACCCAGAGAGTCTGAGTAGGCACAGCAGGCTTGTCCCCTGATCTCACTCCATACATCTGCCAGATGAACCAGCAGCATAATCTCATGGGCTCAATGAATATCATTTTTTTTCTGTTATTTTTATTATGAAAACATGAAATGATATCAATTGATGCACGGTGATAAGAATTCAGTCATTATTTTCCAACATATTGCTCCCTTTATTAACATAGTCTGTATTTGGATTTGAGGCCACTTGATCATTAACGTCTAGCGCCACCATCAGGACGTTTTATTTCCATTTTCCATTTTTACAGCTGCTTATATTTTAAATGTTGCTGATATTATTCTTTTGTCTCATATATCCTACGATAGATTATAATGTTAATCTATTTTAATTGAAGGGATGTATATTTAAGTTATCTGAGAATTTTAACATTTAAATGACTTTTAGCTGTTAAAGATGGACTTTAGCATGTTTCTTTGAGAGGGTTTCAAGCCTATATTAAATAGTGAATTCCACCATGTGCAGAAAGTTGCATGCAAGTCTGCACAGTGTTGTATTATCAGGATTGGAGGAATAGCTTGGTTGCTGGGTGGTTGGACCCAATGTGATTGATAGCTCAGCACAGTCACTTTATATGATGAAATCTGATTTAAAAGACCAAATATAATGAAGGAAGACCATCACTAAAGGGAAGGAAGGCTACCACTGTGTCCTTTTAAAAACCATAGGGCTGTATAGTAACAATTATACATGCTCCCTTCTCTCAATGGTTCAGTCAGATCAGAGGCCTTCTCTTGCACAGCTTCATAGATGTTTATATATTTGCATTTATATCTAATGCATTCTGACAGAGGAGGTTTGTTCACCTTACAGAGCAACACAAATTCACAGCTGTGATTACACTAAGCCGTCTTCAGTCCGTCTGTTTTATCACCTTATTACACCATACCTTCACAAAAAACTTAGATCATATTGGCAGACCAAATACACCAGAGTCATAGTACATTTTCTCATATATACAACTTATGTTAGAGCTGCTAAAGTGCTAAAAGGTCAGGACACATGCATGTCTATCAACACAGGAAGGAAGCACTTGCATCCAAAAGCAGATTTACGAGACACGACAGATACAGAGCACTTTACTCAACTGTTAGT